GGACGCGAATGCGCCAGCCGGACGTCGACTCAGCGTCGGCGACCGCAAGAGCGTCGGGCGGTGGGCACGCTGTGGAGTCGGGAGTCGGAGGCGGGGGAGACGGAGCGCGAGGCGGAGGATGGGAGAGGGGAGAAGGGCGAGAGGAGGGCGGGGACGCGAATGCGCCAGCCGGATGTCGACTCAGCGTCGGCGGAGTCGGATGTTAGAGGCGGGGGAGGTCGAGCGAGGATGGCGGGGGAAGTGGAGCGAGGATGGCGGGGGAAGTCAAGCGAGGATGGCGGGGAAGTCGAGCGAGGATGACGAGGGGGACATCAGTGGGTGAGAAGGGATCGGGTGTCAAAGTCAAAGTCGCCGTAGCGGACAGGGAGGGCGAGGGGATGTTGAAGCGAAGGCGGAATAGGATGTCTAGCGTCGAGCGTCGAGGCTGGGACGTCCGAGCGCAACAAAGAAAGCGGCATAGAGGTGGGAGACGAGAAGGGCGGGGATGGAAAGCAGGATGTCGGGCGTACTCACCTGGATTATGACTATACTCGAACCACCTGGCGATCCCGCCGCTTCGCCTTCTCTGGCTCGCTACCTGTCGCCCTGAGGACGCGACGACGTCGATATACAACTACTGCGAGGTTCAGTATGAGGCATTGTACGACGATGCTGGAATATAACTCGCCAGTTAGAACGTCGTACGCCGATGTTCCCGGCGCACATGCCGCGCGAGCATGGGGGCGAGTTCAAGCGTTGGGAGTGGATGGCGTGACGGAAACGAGAGGAAGTAAAGGGAGAGGCGAGGTGGCGAGCGTAGTTGACCTGACCGAGAGCCAGGAGAGTAATGCGGAGGGCGAGGTGGCGGACGTAGTCGACCGGGCCGAGGGCATGCCCGGCGTTGGGAATGGAAGGCGACGTATTTGAGAGCAGGTGGGATGTCGAGCTTTGAAGCTGGAGTGGGTGCACACAGAGCGCAAGCATGAAGAAGGGAGACAAAAGGCGATCGTTGCGAAAGGTCGAAGACCGAGCGCGAACGTGACAGGCTTGACCGTGTAAGGAAACTACACGTGGGGCTGTTCGCATTTCGAGGCATTAAGCGCTCACACGCTGCCTTGATATCCTCTGATTCCTTAGGACCACGTATACGCTGTACTACCATTCGATTACTACCAGGAGACCTCAAGGTTCAACGTTCAAGTCCAGTTCTCGGTGGCGCGAGGTAAGTCTGCATGGTACTGCAGGAGTCGCTTGTTGCGCCGAGTTTAGCAGATACCCTCAGGACGGAGTGCTGACCGCCTGCGACCGCAAGCAGGGGATGGGGGCGGCCCTGGTTGTACAAAGCGAAGGTCTCGTAGTACGTCTGTATACAGGATCGGATAAGGACGGCGTCCCCTCTCCGCGATTAACGGCATTTACCAGTCGCATAGCTACACCCACGGTCAACTTATGGCGCCCCAGCTGGTCTCCTCTGGGTCCGTAGCGCGGTCGACATCCTGTTCGCGAACGACAAGAATCGACCTCCCTGCAAACGCTGTACCTCTCCTTCTCGCACATCGAAGACCTCCGGGGCTGTTCTGCAACTTCGCGTACTACCCCACGCTGAACGTGAACAGCACTATGCCGACGGACCACATCGACCAAGCGCTGCGGTGTTGCAACACGACGCTCGATTCGCCGGCGGAAGCGGGGGAGGGCGGGGAAGATCGGGGGACGGATGGGGTGTTTTTACGTGTGCTGGTGAAAGGTGCGCCGAGCCTGGTGTCCCCCACTGAAGTGTTTCTGCCATCATACCCCCGCGCCGAACCTCTACGACGGAGAGGCGACCTTCCTCCAGCTCGGGCCTCGGCGAACATTGTCAAGCGAGGCCCAGTTCCGCCGCAGAACCCACAGCCAACTGCAGGTAGCTGGGCAGCCTACCCCGGGGGCATGCAAGGCAAAAGGGCGACCATCTACACCTGTGTGGCGTCACCGCCGTCGCACCCCTCCGCGCTGGGCTAGCGATCGACGTCTTCCCAGAAGGTAAGCACATATGTACACCTCCGCCAGACACGTTCTCGACATACCTGTCATGTCGCAGGAGGCGTCGCGGGCAGGTCTTGCGTGCGGCAACGCGGTACAACAACCGCACCGTGCAAGGAAGAAGCTGCTGGAGCGGGCACGAAAAGGCGGGCGAAATGGACGGTAGCAGAGGGCGCTCGACCGCGGGGCACGAAGTGCTTGACGGCAAACGGGCGATTGGAAGAACCGCGCGCCACGTGAGAGAGCAAGGCAGTTTCGAGGAAAGCCGTCCAGACGAACTCTAGGCTACGAGACTTGCGCGCACAGCGCGAGAACGAGCGTAGCTGCACGGTGGCTGGATGATGACGAGTTTCGCGTCCCCTGCTGCTGCTCTTAGGTCCACGAGTGCGCGTCCTTATGATAAAATATATTTACTGTGGTCGCATTTGGCCCGCGACCCCTCAGCCTCCTCCCTCATGCGCTGTGCCATACTTTGGAAGTGCACAGTGGGCAGTTGGCCGCGACTACTACCAGGGAACGTATATCGGTTGGCTTCGCTTCTGAGGCCAGGCCATCTGGTGTAGAAAGCTTCTTTCACCATCGCGAAGCAATGTTTACATAGCGCGAGGTGGTACGCTAAGACTAGGAGTGTTCGCGGTAGCTAAGCAGCGAGGTAGAAACGAGCAGGATGACAGAGAGATACGAATCGGCGGTGTGGTGCTCGCGCAGAGCAGAGATGGCGCAGGGCGCTCATTTGGCCTCTACGTTAATTCAAAGATGCTTGCCCCTGGCGGGGGAGCGCAGGCGGCGGTCTACAGCGTAGGCATTTCATAGTGTGATAAAATACATGTGTAATAGCTGACGGCCGTCGATTTCTCGGAACGCGAACGATGCGGCTATGGAGATGAGTTCTGGGGTAGAACGACCATGCTGTTCCGCCGGAACTTCTTCGTGAGGTCCTTCGCCTTCGCCATCCACCCCGCCACCGATGATCTCTGCTCCTGGCCCGGCGCAGGTCCCGCGCTCTCAACCGGCGCCGCCGTCTTCGGCACGCTCCCCGTCGAGCGCCTTGACCGCGACCCGTCCGCCTGCGCCGCATACACGAACGCCGTCCCGTTCGGCGTGTGCGGGGCGTCCAGTGAGTGCTCCTCCCCGTGCACCGCCTCCGTCGTCACCTCCTCGACCGACACCCCGATCAGCAGCCGGCTGGGGGTCGCGAGGATGTCGCGCGAGCGCGTGCGAGAGGGCGACAGCCGGCGCGCGATGAGGACTCCCATCGCCTTCGCGAGGCTGACCCGGCCGGCGATCGTTTCCATCTGCGTGACCTGCTCCTCGTCGCGCACATCGTCCTGGCCGTTGTCGGACGACGCGAATGAGTCTGCGCTGCCAGCGTACTTTTGTGCCTGGTAGAACGCGCGGATATTGCCTGCGTTGATGAACACGGGGTTTGTGGGCTCGGGCAGTGCGCTCGGGGTCTGCGCGGTCGGCGTCAAGTGGTCGGTCGCCTGTAGGAGATACGGACGTTAGAGTGGTTCGCTACGCGCAATGAGAGGAATCTTCGAGATTCCGACTCTGCAAGACGCGTGCCTGGGGTGTCAACGCGGCCGAACTGGCAGCGCGCGTCACCCCGAGTGAGACAGAGGCGCGAGGAAGCTCGCTCGCTGCGAGATGTCACTGTGTGCGTGGGGATCTCGTGGTAGGCGCAGATGGCGAACCTGAGGGGAGGGGTCCAAGCATAACAAAAAGGAAAGACAGACACACCAGACCGAACCGCGACACGGATATGCTCCCTCGTCTCCTGTCTCTCACGATGGAGACCATGGTAGGTGCAGCTGGCGGTGCGGGGGAGGCGACGCGGCCGTACACCTCCTGCGGCAGGTCGGCGGGCTCGAGGCTCTGTTGCGCGCGTCGCTCGTTATCCTCTTCCAGCTGTGCGAAGATCTGATGAGGGTCGCGTGTCACTGGGCGAGTACTTGGCGACGCGGCGTACGGACGTACCTGTTCGATGAAGTCTGTGCGGGGGTCGAGGAACGTCGGTGTGACGTTCAGGCTGGTTTGGACTGCGGTCATGATTACAGTTGACGGTCGGTGCTCGGAGGTCGCGGGCTCGACGTTCGGCCGTGGGTGATATGTTTGGGGAGCAATGGTGGAGAAATCAAGAGAGGGCGAGGAAGAGAAGGGCGTGAGGGGCCATGTTGTTTAAACGGATGATTAGCATTCTCGAAGCGGGGGAAGCAAGTATCCACAC